TCCAGACGAGAATGACCCTTTGATGGGGATGTGCATCGATTACGGCGACCTCTTCGACGCGGTCCGTGATGACGGTCTGAATAATCACAGCTCTCACTTTTACCGCATCAACACTGGGAAGACATTGGCAAAACAGAACGAAGCCGAGAACTCTGATGAGGAAGTCGAGAACTTTGATGAGGACGAAGCCGAGAACTTTGATGAGGGCGAAGCTCGCCGAAGCAATATCCTGTTCCGCAGATCTAGATCAACCGTGCGCCACCTGAAAGGTCTTCTCAAAGCTATGATTGAATCCCAAGATGAAGATCCGCATCAGAAAGAATACGGGGGGGACATGCTAGCAAAAGGGGAAGGTCTCGCCTGTAAGTGGATCGGTATTGATTAAGACGCAGTCAGGCGGAGTTTGGCAATCGGTTTTGCCATCCGGCTCACTCGCCCCGTCGCGTTCTCTAGATCGCATCAAGCGATTCATGTCACGGCGTTTGAGGTTCAGCATCCGTTCCGAGTCCGCTCACAACGACGGCAAACCGTACTTCATGTCATACTCGTCATTGAAAAGCATCGCCCGCAACATCTGCACCATCGTCACTCATCTGAATGAGGATATGTCGTCCGAAGAAGTCAGGCGCCTCGGTGAATCTCTCTATAAAGTAAGGAGGACGAAATCTCCTATAGGTGTCTGCTCGCTCTAACCTGTTCTTTATAGCATGCCAACTGGCTCCGAATTCGGTACGACCTGAACGTAGGCAAGAAGGAGAAGATCGTTTTTGGCCCTCCGGAAGTGCAAATGATTATGGAAGAAGCCATGAGCTCGACAGCCAAACCTTACGACATCGCTGTACAGTTCTGCACTTCTCTCCTCACTCTCTTCTACACGGCGGGGCGCCCGGATTCCTTTTTTCGTTCTTACCAAAACAACAATCACGCGAAAGTCGGGGATATTCGGATAGTGCGAAGAAAGTCGGAGACCGAGCGCGATCCAACAACCGGCCATCCTATCACCGTCGGCTTCGACGTCACTGTGGCCGTCCAGTCATTCGTAGGTTACAACGAAGAGCAACACATATCAATCAAGTTTAAAGTTCGCACCATCAAGCTCGCAAATAACCTCACTTTCGACTTTGGCACTTGGATGGTAGCAATGTTGTATCAAAGAAATGCCCTGGATGGCGATCCGACGGTGGAAGAGCTGTGGAATGATGGGAGGCATGAGGTGGTCATCAAGTCCGAGTTCAAGCAGGAGCCACTGTTCGTGAAGTCAACGCAAGAAGGAATGGCGTTCGGCATCGGTCCGGTCACATGCGACGGCTTCCGCCACGTGCTACAAGAGGTATGCAAGAAGATTGGCCTTAGCGAGACCTGGGAAAGGGGGGCGAGTGTGTCCGCATATTGCATACGGCGAGGAACGGCAATCATGCTTTTCCACGAATTAAGAAAAGAAAAGACGCAGGTATGAATATTGGTCTCCATGATACTAAGTGAATTCTGACGGATTCCTATCAGAGGTACATGGGCCACAAATCCGCAAGCAACACTTTGTATACCGACTACTACTCCGACGACCAATTCGAGGATATCCTAGCAGCCGCGTTTGATGGATCGCCAGAGGAGATGAGGATGGACAAGTCGAAACCTTATTTGACTGCCCCCCGTGGTAAGTGCCTGAATCCTGTCATTGTGGTACTCATCATTAACAGTCGCTTGCAATGTTCTAGGAAACAACGTCGTATTGACGATCACGAAAGCCGAGGCAGTCCACAACGACGTCATGCTTCGCGTCATCGCTCGTGACATTTCTGATTTAAAATTTTGTATCAAGACGAACCGGTTTTTGGACGCAATGGCCACAGGTTTGTGCAATCTTTCCTAAAATGGCACTCGCTCTTGAGTTTGACCCCAAATCTTTTGCTGTAGTACAAGACGAGGTGGGGGGACAAGCCAGAGCGGCTCCTGGACGTGTACTGTATAGTCACAGCAACCTTCAAGATGCGCTTGCACACGATCATGAGCCAAGATCGAAAAGAAGCCCTCCTCACCCAGCAAGCGATCGATGACGCCCTAACCAGCAAGGAACTCAAAGCGCGTTTTGACGAGTTCAACAATAGATCTTCCGATCTGCCGGACGAATCGGCAGAGCTCAATCGAAAGGCTCAGCATATGTTGGATCGCGTGCGACTGGAGCAGGAGCGCGCTCTCAATCAGCTCGAGAAAAACCCGGCCCCCGTGTTCCGACACTGTCGAGAACTATCGATCGACATAGATGTTGACGAAGAGGTGGCCGCGTCTTTCTTGGGTGCAACAGACATCGATTCCGACGACGACGACGACGACGACCTGGACAATGGTACGGGCGACAGCAACCAGGACGAGGCAGACACTACAGCCTCGCAGCGAGACGACTTGAACGTGGGAGAGCAGGGAGCTAGTCCAAGAATTGAGGAGAATGATGAAGACGAGGAAGGAGTTTTCGATGAGGAGGAAGGTGCATTTGCTGAGGGTGAAGAGGAGAAGGTTTTCCAACAGGTGAGTTTACACAATGTATCCCGGTATTTCAATGGGGAGTTGACTAACGGCTGTGATGGTTGAATAGGGTAATCCGGAGCTGACAGAGCAAGATCATGAAGAATCTGTAGCAATCGACAAAGTAGAGGAAGCTTTGCCAAAGCCCCAGAAGTCCAGGACAAAGGAACCCGCTACTTACACTTTCGAGGAGCTGGCGGAAGACAAGCTGGAATTCCTGAAGGATTTGTGTGAAGCCCAAAAGAGTCGAGGAAAGTGTTGCCTGCAATGTCGGAACGATCGTGAGTGAGCAGCCTAGCCAATACGCTTCTTTGTTATCCTGATACAGATTGTGGGCTTTCTTTGGGACTAGCTACCGTTCCCGGGGCTGCAAAACGCTATCTATACAATGGAGATGAGCTCGAAAAGCACCACAGCTCCAAGTTTCACTCCAACGTCCGCCGCCTGCAACGGTACCTGACAGATCACACCAGCCTGAAATTCCCACATGCCTTCAAACCTTGTCCACCAATCGATCGGAAAATTGAGGCCTGCCTACACTGTCACTGGTGCAAGGTCGGGCATACTGGTTCTTACAATATTTCGAAAATCATGAAACACCTCGTTACACACAAAGCAAAAATTCCTCAGGAATTCCATTGCGGGTTAGAAGACCCTGACGGAGGAAATACCGCTCGCAGTCGAAAGCGTGACGTGAGTCTTGTCCGTCTGCGAGTTGTCTTGAAGTGCAGGCTGAAATGGACATTGCTACAGTCTCGTGCCGCTGAGTTGGAAGAGGAGAGGCTCGAGACTATTGCTCGTGCAGCAAAGCGTCTGTGCACCAGCCTACCAGAATGCTCGCAATAGTGGCCATGCCAAAGCTTTGTCTAGGTGGATTTGTCCGGCCCTCCAGGTTCTACCACAAAAAAACCTTTCATCGCTCCCGATGTGCTCGACAGTGTAGAAATGGATATCGGATCGCCTACGTTCGAAAGCGAGATGGGGGAGCCGGACTTTAGCGAGATGGCGGAGCCGAACTTTGGCGAGAACAATTCACTGGACTGGGGTATGGAGGACCTCTTTGGTCCCTAACTTTGACTAGACTTGTAGCCGACGGATTTTGAAATAACGAGCTTGCCCGTCCGTTTCAACCCGGACTACTTGCTGCATAGGTTTAGTACTAGAGCGCCTCCCAACCATTATGTTGTAACGTTGTGCCTTACTGGTTAAAATATCTCCTATGTAGTTACTGTCATTGAGCATGGCGTTTCAGGATAGGCAACTCGAGCGCGTTGCAAGGGACTGGGGTTCGAGTGCACCATTCACCCTAGGAGACCCTCATGATCCTTCCAGGTAGTCGTTGGTCTGAATCTTGGCCATCCTGGCGGTTTTGAGTCGACCTAGTTGCTGACATTTTGCGCAAGAAGGCTGCTGGAATACTGGGTGTGAGTGAGCAGTCTGTGTATATAGGAAACTCGGTGAAAGACAGGCGACCTGCGCTGGTTGGAAGCTGACTAGATGAAACTTGCCTCCAGACTCATTCCCATCGAACGAAGCGTTATGCGTCGAAGGGATATTCAAGCACATAGAAAGTCGTCGAAGGCGTCCTTTGGCCATCCCATCGCTTCAGACAATGCATGTATTTGCCTCTGCTGCGGATGTGCTCATTTGTCGATACCGCGAATTCTGTGATAAAACGTGAGCTGCATCAGCTCTGCATACCGATCGAGAACCGATGCGCTGGTAGCGACAAGTGGTATCGAAAAGCTGCTAGATGAATCGTCTTTCTAGCAGCGTTTTCCAACCGTCGGAACGCATCAAGCTGCTACCACGGCGAAAAGGTCACTGCGATAGGGGGAAAATTGGAGAGTCTTGACATGTACAGAACATGTTTTACAAACGTAGATCCTAGAGAGTGCTTGAAATCCCCTCGACCGCAACGGACAGGGAACTCATACCCTAGCCACCGTGCGTTTCAGTTCGAGACAACGATTTGCGACCGTCAATTACTGACAGAGCGGTTCCTCTCGATCTTCCAGCGGCTACCGAGTAGTGCTTTGTGCTCCTCTCCCACCTGCCCGCGTTCTTGACCCGCTCTGGTACCTCGAGTCACCTCTAGTTGGGGTCATTGAAAGCAGCCGAAATTTACCTCCTCCTCCCCCAACTGGATCTGATCTGCTTGTTTGGCCATGACTACTTTGCAGTACTGAAAAACTGGACGTCCCAGAGCCTGTGCGGGTATGGTTGAAGACGTCTTTTTTCGTATCTCTAATTTCCGCGTTTTTTTTAGCGATTTGCGCACGCACTCGCAGAAATATATGGAGCCAATACTAGGGTAGAGCGGGTGTAAGGAGCTGCTCCTGGCCTTCGTTGTCTCCCTAAGTCCCAACTTATGATGTGAGCACTTGAGTACTAGTACGCCAAATTACCGTTTCGACAGCTGTTTCGACTTGGATAAGTCCAGGAAGCTTAGAAAGGCAATCAAAAGCAGCAAAAAGATGTTCTTCCGAGCGGGATCGAACCGCTGGTCCTCGACAGGCTAAGCCATAAGCTAATGTTTACCGCATAAGGTCGATGCCTTACCACTTGGCCACGGAAGAGTTGATTGCCAATGGGCCAAATATAGTTATATAGATGAAATCACGATGCTGCTGAGCACGGGCGGCGGTTGTTCACGCACCGACGAACACCTGGACCGTGTACGATACGATATCGATCCCATCCAAGTCGATCACTTGCATGTCTTGTGCCTCTACCGCCAGGAGGAACACTTGACACAACCAAAAGGAAGGAAGCCTGTCAGCAGCTCGTAGCAGCGAGGGTAGGGGTGGATGCGACTTACTGCGGACAGGTTGTGCAATGGTTGGGTTCGATCATGTGCGATATGCTAGAGTGGGCAGGTCGGCTTGGCCGAAGGATTTAAAGACATATTAACAAATCACCTAGGTTAAGACTTCGTTCTTGACGAGAACAGCATTTCCCTCTTGTACCAGTTACCAACCATACCGGTATACGCGTCGTCCCACTTGATATCCGTACTTTGAACAGCGGACATAATGAATCACGCTATATCAGGGATTGAAATCGACGAGCACGGTTATACCAATACTTGTCGATTCCTAGGGTGAGATACATACGCACTCGACGACCATCGGCGCAATGACCAGTTTTGTGACCCTATATTCAGCTCTATTAGCAACATCCCGTCTTCGAAGGGATCCTGCAGAACGTACGCGAATTCAGGAAGTACCATGCTGCAGATTCACAGGGCGTTGATGCGTCAGCATCTCTACAGGGGGGATAAGGCAGCGTGTGATCCCAACTGGGCCGTCATAGTATCCCGTATTGTTTAAAGGGATGTCGTGGGTGTGTGACCCGGTTGAATGGTGCCCAATCCATTGTGGCCGTGGACTGGAACGGTGTCGTTCTGGTTAACTTGGATCATGGGTGGTCTGGGGAGAGCACAAAACGGTTATGTGGTTAGGTCAGAAACTGCTGATACTAGTGCCTGTCCGAGGCGAGACTTACGGCCACGTTCCGTTCACACAAATGACTCGTCTTTCGAAGAGTTGGTCGGGATTCGCGGTAGCATACGTGAAGTTTCACTAGTCGCCGATAACAACGGCTTGGCGAGCTGGTGCGTTGATTGTTGCAGGACATCTCGTCGGTAATCGTAACAGAACCGCTTCACATCAGACATTTTGTCACCATCAACGCAAGCGCAATCAACCGTCGCTCCACCTTTGCTCTGGCCTCCCTTTTCGGTTTCTTTAGCATGAATGCCATCAATGATGCGCTGAGCAGCCGAATTGCGTCCGGCGAGGGTGCTGGAGGACCATATGAGCAAATGCGCGATACAACCAGTGACGCTGTCCTTTGCATTAACCTCGTCACTGGAGGACCACTGGTCGAGCTTGGAAAACGCCTGAAGCGCGATGAAAACGGCACTGGCGAAAAGGGGACCGAACTGTGCTGTGAGGTCGACGTCAGACCATTCCATCAATGTACCAGCGCAAATACCGAGTGGAAACGAACTTCAGCTTTATGCAGACCTGTGATGACTCGTGACTTCGCCCAAATAATAGAGACGAGCTCAAGCTAAATGCGCTACAGAACAAACTGCGCCCGCGCAAACTCTAGCCCTGAAAGCTGGTTTAACGCACGTCTACGCCGCTGTGTCTGTTTTGTCTGTGAGTACTATAGCGAGCAAGAATTACAAGGCGATGATGCCACACTGAATAATTTCGACCGGGGACAGAAAAGGTACCGGAACAGCGCTCACAACAATCATCACGCTGGAAGGGTTTGCGTAGGAGCGAGTGAGCTAACGAGTTGCGATGATGCTGTCGTCGAGAATGAAGATGTGTCGCTATCCACGTCTAAGCAACTACCGCGACTCGACACATCGCATAGGGCATTATACTGATGCCGATAGCGTCGTAGGTCTCTCATAGGCTATGTAAAGGTGGATAGCGGATTAATATGATGCTATCTGATTCGATAATTACCAACCTCCATCGCTCGAGACAGAAACAAAAGGAGTACAGACGTTGCAGTTTGAAAGGGTTGAGAATACGTTCATGAGTATCATCGGTCACATTCCTTTCGTGGCAGGGCCACCAGCAGGACCCCTTCCGTATCCAGTGAGCATTACAGTTGTATTTAGTCCAGGACTATGACTGCATCCAGGGTAACACCCAAGTGATTGCAATCCAGCGGATCAGCGAGGTGTTGGTGAGAACCTAGATCCGCTAGCAAGCACTAGATTCTTGAGTCTGCCCGTCTTCTTCGATTGAGCGGATATGGGAGTTACCGATCTCGGAGCGTCTCGCGACAAACTCTCCGTAATGCTATCGTCTTCCAAGTCAAAGGCACTATCAATCATCCGGTTTGTGCTGTCGCGAGTGAGGGAACCCAAAGACGACATCGAAGGTCGGGCCCGATGCGTCTGGTTGGCGAGTCTCCAGGAAGATATTTGCTGCTGAATCGAGTTACTTATCGATTGTTCGTCGAAAATATCTAATCCATCCGAACCTGATGAGGCTTCACCGCCAAATAACTGGAGAGCACTTTCTGCTGGCGACTTGACACTATTGGCCAAATGCCAGTTAAGATGTTGCTCGTTCGATCCACGACGCATGGAGCGCTAGCGAGCACGTAAATGCAAGTTCAGCGTCGTGCGACATTATCGTAGATAATGAAGACTTACAGCAAGAATAGCTCGAACCCGGCCTTCATTTGCTTGATCATACTCCAGCTCATACTGGTTTTCCAACAGAATGTGTTTCTGATCCGCATCTTCGTCTTCCGCAGAAAAAAATTCGTTGAGCGAATGCAACGCTCCGACCAAATCGCCGAGAGTATCATCCTTTTCGTCAAATTCTATAGGTGAGAGCGGAATATCGACGTCGTCATTGTTCGACATAGGGCTCGACTGTTCGTCGGGTTTGACGTCAGAAGTCGCTGGATCTGGAAGAGTTACTGTGGGAGTCTGTAGAGGGAACATCGGCGGCATGGCATGCGGAGCCACAGTATTCAACGACTCGTTCGGAAGGTCATCTTGACGCTTGGCCGGTAGCTGGAGGTCTAGAGCTGAAGGTCGCATCGCCTCGAGGGCATTTGCAGCCAGGGTACCAAATCCATCCACTGTAGCGATAGTAGGAAACAGCAAATTTTGCAAAAAGCTGGCTGTCTCGGTAGCCTGTTCTGTCTGGCTGTCACGTAAACTAGCGACGACGATGAGCCGCAGTACATTTCGTAAAGCGATCTCATGGTATGCTTGATGCTGGAGGAGAGGGCAGCTGCTGTCAAGTTCATGTACCCCGACCGGATGATGAATACTCACTTGCGCACTCTGCAACATGCCCACTGCCTGTTCCAAACGGAATCGCCATAACTGATCGAATTCTGACTGATGGGCGAAGCACAAGCAGACAACAACAAGCGGGAATACTGCAGTCCATAGACCAGGTTCTGCAACCAGTCGTGCGGCTTGTTGTGTGATAGCGGTGATTGCATCATGCCATGCTTCAGAATCCAAGCTTGTTGCCTTCCGAACGATATAACAAGTCAGAAAGTTGTCATGAATTACAAGATGTACGTTACCAACCAAAGACCGAGGCTCCAGCCATAGCGTTATCGATTCCGCTATCGTTGCCTTCCAAGAAACATTGCTTGCTGTAGAAAGCTTTTGCGCTAGAGTGCTCAGGATCCCGCTTATGCGCGTTTCATCGGCCTGTTGAGAGGGGGTTAATCCTGTTAGCTCTGAGATGACAGAAGAGATTATATTTGCACTGACATCCTGGAAAACATGATACAGGCCTCGCAGTAGGTGTTCGATTTTACCGAGCACTGCTTGTTCCGGATACGAACCGTCCATCAGGCTGTCTAGTCCCGCAATAAACCGGGATATCAAGCTATCGGAGCTGGAATATAGCCACAAATTGCAAAGAGCCAAAGTCAGTATTGCCAGGGTTGAGCGAGAAGAATGTTTCTTACGATGTGGCGCTTAGGAATTTCAACCCTGCCAGACAGTGGGCTACCACGTCTTTTCGGTCCTGTGAACCGATGTACGCACTGCTCACGATTTTAGTATTAGCGAGATGACCCGCAGATCAAAAGCCTAACCAAGACGAACCTGTCCTCTACTGCATATGCTTCGAACATGCTCTCTTCTAGCTCCTGAGTCAAGTCTTCCGGCAATGTCGATCCTGCGTCCGACTGGAACAGCTCGACCAACAGTCGATAAACGATGAATCTGCCGGCAAGCTTTGTAGAAGCACCGATATCCAATCAACAGAAGCAAATCGACGCAAAATAAACATTTACTCACTGTCTTTCGTTCTGAAATCAAGTTCATGTACTCCTGATAACGAGAAGATGATGGTCTTTCGGAGATTTGGGATATTTGAGAAAGTCATATTCCGTTTCCGTATACGCAACAAACTTACTGATCCCCTGTGAAATCGTCATTCAAGCCCTCGCTCTGCATTTGACCCCAAGCAGCTACGAAATTGATCACCTGCTTGGGAAACTCCTTGGCGCATTCCGCGAGGCTGTGCAGTAGGTTGTCGTAGATGTGGTCTTCGCCCTGGTGGAGTAATTCCAACGCTTTCTGGTGCATCTGCAGTCATGCCAAATCGACAGATAGTTAAGGACAGGGTAGAATCGATCAGAAGACCAGTACCCACCAGTGGTTTTGCCAAAATATTTTCGACCTTGGCATCGCTCTGCGCCACAAAATGCCGGAACAGCTCATGCATCACAATCTCATTGGGTGATCTCGGCTCGGGCATCGCTTTAGCTGTAGCAGCCGCCACGGCTTTCGCGTGATGATATGCCATACTTGCTGTCGTATGTCCGGTATGACCTCCCATTCCTGCAAGCATTGCCGTCTTGGCTGATGGTGAGGTAACGGGCGTCCGTCTGTTTGAATGCGCGTAAGAGACGGGTAACATGGGAACGGGTTCACTTCCCATCGCGGCGTAAGCAAATTGGGTCGAGCTATGTGATGTGGAGGAGGTGGTGACCGTATGCCCCGACGGACGGGACATATGGGAAAATTTGTGGGCATGAGAAATCCCGGGCGAGTTTTTCGCTG